ATAAAATAGTAATTGAATTAGACTTATGCCTAATGTACACAGTAAATGTGCAAACCTTTCACTGTCTACATTCATAAAAGAGAGTAAGGCTCACTTGTTTTAACAGAATGTGAAAATGAAATTTTAAAGTGTAGCTTTTGTACCTATTGCTATATAAGCTCAGCACTACAATACTGAATCCACTGCAAGTGTAACTTAGTTATTTTGCTTCCTGAAATCCAAACGTTATGATGACAGCATCAAATTATCAGTTTCGTCTTTCTTCTTGCAAAAACGTCCTATTCACCTTTTCTTTCTCTTTCAGAACTACTTCCTTTCCAAACTTTGAAAAGCTGTGGAAAAGTCTATGGAAGCAATGCTGGAGCCCAGGATAGCCAGCAATTAGGCAATGCTCAGGAATGTTGGCTCTCCTATGTTCCTGTTCTTCATCTATGTAGTGATTAAAACAGTACTTTTAGTGGTCAGGTAGGCCAGCTCATCAGTAGTTCAAATTGCATTTCTTAAGTAGGAAAATCAAATAAATACAAGTCAGATCAAGATCTCTAATTTTCCACATCTTCTACGATTCTGCACATTGCATCCACCTGAATCTGCCCAATCATTACCTTTCAAGGTCAAAGGGAAAAATGAAACAAAAAAAAATCCCTTAATTTGATCATTGTTTTCTTTTAATGTTGTTTTTATGTTTGATCTTATCCAGGTAGAAAAGTATTGGCTGGCTCCAAACAGAGGCACAAATGACCAAGGAGGCTGCATGAACATAATCTATGCTTTTTAGAATACAAACAAGGAAAGGCTGATGGGGAAAAGGACAGTTAGCAGTGTTAGCAGTGTAAGCAGCCTATTAAAAAAAAAAAAAAAAAAAAAAGTAGATATTTAATAAAGTAACTGTTAGCAATGAAGCAAAATAATGAGGCAATATGCATCAATATATCAAAATATAAGTTAATTATAAACATTTTGAGAAAAACTGCATGACTGTACACACTGCTGATATTCACTTACGACCTACAGGTAAATATTAAACATTCTGGACAGTAATACCAAAAATCACTTTATAGTTGATATATTAACTTGATGCGCAGTCCTTGCAATGAGAAACCCCCCGGTTTGGCTACACAGACCATGAAACATTGCATTCAAAGTGTAGTTTTAATAGCAAATCATAAACAGGCTGACAGAGGTATGTCAATGAAACCCAAAGAGCAAAAGAGACAAATGAAAAAAAGCCTAACTACTCCAAACACTTGGGTCTTTATCTTAACTCTGGGAAAATGTGTTGACTCACCTCAGAAAAACTTTTCCTTTCTCCAATGATCTGTCAAATTCAGGGTGACAGGTATCGTCTAGGAGAATAAGATCACAGGCAGAACTGATGGGCAAATGGAACCATAGAACCATCAAGATGGGAAAAGAACTACAAGATCATCCAGTTCATCTGCCTGCCTATCACCAGTAGCTCTCAAACACCAATGCCAGTGGCTTAAGGTGGTATAATACTAAGCTAGTCAGAGTTCTTTTGGAAACCCAAATCATTTGAATGGCTAAACACCTTCTGCTCTACTGCTTCGGTCAGATTTTCATGGCAACTTTGCTTGAAAAAGTATGCCAGGATTTGGATCTCTGTAAACTTGTTTATGCCCTCTTTTATACTTTCAGGATAAAAATATTTTCTTCTCTTAATGTTATCAATCACAATCAACAAAAAAAGGAAAAAAATCTTTCAGAATATTCACATATTATGTGGAACAACAATTGTTTTCATGGGCTTTTAATGAGACTCAGTTTTAGAAAGACTTGACTGTGAGACAGTAAAATTTTCGCAAGCAGCTCAGAACCAACTGCACTCGACAAACAGCCAACTTCTGTCTGATACACTGCTCACCCTCCAATTGCTGTGGCAATTTGTTTCGGGTATTTTCTGTTGGAAATAATTTCCATTAAGAGCAGCTAAGAGGAGCAGTGGTGGTACTCGGTTCATCCGAATCTCATATAGGGGACTGTTCATACTCTGGATGTTCACAGATTAGGAACATCTTAGATCTTAGGATGTTAGATCTTAGGAAATAAAAGCGAAAACAAAAAAAGAAACAAGCAAACAAACAAAAGCACTGACATGCAGAAACAGAATTTCAGGAGACAAAAGCTAAATCAACGAGAAAACCTTTGTGTACCTCCTTGGAGAGATGAGTTTTAATCTCTTTTCAAACACACTTATTTTATATACTGTTTGACAACTTACTGAAAAAAACAAAGTCTTAAAGCCACAGACATAATCAGAAACTTCAAGAGCTGAGAGTTGATAGTGTGCTGTACTTACTGTTTTGATGAGTTTACACTCCATGAAGAGGAAGGAAACATCCCCTTACACAGCATATGGCATCACTACAGGAGATAGCAACAAGAAACGACCTTCAAGGGACCATCTGCCAGTTCTGCTCCAATCACACCTCCTCCTTGCCCACAACATGACCCTTATATTAAGGAGACCAGCAAAGGATGCACATGGGAAACATCCTAAACAGTTAAAACTCACGCTAAGTTTGTATCTTTCACTCCACTTTTGTTATAGTCTTTCCCATCAAATGCCAAGAGCATTTAACCTTTAACTCTGTTGTCCAGCAGAATTTGAACACACCACTGAAACCTTGGCCCAGAGGTGATTGTCCATTTCTCACTGCTTCTGTATCTTCAAATATTGTTTCAGAGAATAATAAAGGAAGGAAACTGCTAAGACAAAACATGATCTTTATGGCAGATGGTACCACAGGATAAATGGCTGTTGATCTGCTGTAAATAATTCATCATTGTCAAGTGTGGTGCCCCAGTCATCTCAACAGAAGTATATGATAGCAAGAAAAATGTAACATTTGTCACAGAAGTACCACATACATCACGGGGCTTTCTTTTTAATCCAAGTCAGGCACAGCAACATAATGTACAGTCAAGCAAGACTTTTAAGACACTTTAAAAACAGTTTCCCTTGAATACTGCATCCAACTTCTGATTTTGCAGTCATATGAAGTAAAGTAGGGAAAAAAGGAGAAGGCAAGTGGAAGACGTTTCTGAATATTGCCCTTATGATGTAAGCTGCATTTCCCCTTCCCAGCTCTGAACAACTCAGTGCTCCGAGGCTATATTGCTCCTAAATCACAGGGAAAGCCAACTAAACAAGGCAAACTGTATAGAGATCACAAGCTGGCTGATGTGGAAGGATGGTTTGTACCATCTACTGGTCTGCCAGAAAAGGTTCCTACCCTGCTTTAGGTGCTATAGTTTGGCAGCACTGTATATACCCTTAAGTGGGGAGAGGGTTACCTTCCTCTGCACCCAGCCTGAAAGTTTGGCAATTCAGCTCAAGATAAAGCTGTACTTGTTTTCAACCTCCTGAGACTCTGGCTGCTATTACTTGCACACTCCTAGCTACTATGAGAAAGGCTGCCTTAATACCCATAACAGATGTGGCACAGGACCACCCCAAAGGCCCTCCAACACTACCTGAAGCAGCCCTGAGCAGACACTTTGCCCTGAACAACAGAGGCACAGATGAGCTGCCAGTGTTGTTCCTACCTGTAGAAACAGCAGGTAGACCTGAAATGTGGGGTTAATACTGCATATGTTAAGATACAAATGCTTCTGCAATTTTGTGAGGTGAGCAAAGTCTTCCCTCCTATGGTTTTTTTTGTTGTTGTTGTTTTTTGCCTCTTGTCACTTCTCTCTCATTTCTGCTCATTTTACCCACATTACAGCTGTAGCTAAATAAATGACACGTTATGGCCTAGCATCACGTGACAGATCATCCTACATCAGCCCTGAAAAATGGAGAAGCTGTCAGCCGTCTGGTTCTCCTCATATTCACTGTCAGCATCAGTGCATTCAAGCTGCATGTCACAGTCATCTGAACAAGATGAATACAGCACTGTGAACATCAGCTTGGGAACCAAGTCAATCAAACATGTGACCAGAGCCACACAGAAGTATTTGTGCTGAGAAACTGCCACAGAGAAAGGGTTTCTAGTGCCCTGCTATGTACTGTCACTGGTAGTTTTTAATTAAAGTATCTGCTTGAGCCAGTTTAAAACAAAGAGGATTTTTGTGGTGAGGCTTTTTATACAGAAGCTTGTAAAGAAAATCTCAGCAGCTCTTAGGTTCACCCTTAACAACTTCAACAAGGACCAAAATTGTCAGGGCCTGGTCTTGCAGCTCCTAATCTCACTGGGGTAATCTCACTGATAGGCTCCCACAGGGAAGCAAAGAGATTGATTCTCTTGTGCTACCCACATAAGCCTCTGTCAGAGGTGAGTCAGATGAGACAAATCTCTTTTCCCCCTTTCTGTAGTAATCTAACAAGAAGATGAAATTAGAAGGACCAAAGTGGACGCTGTTGTTGGGACAACACGGCTGTGAACTGCCTCCTGTCCTGCCCCTCCTCAAGGCTCCTTGGCTGAGCATCCCTGCCAAACCCACTGAGGGCTGTGCACTCTTTGTCAGGGCCCTCTGAAATAAAGAGGCATTTCCCATGTACTAAGAAGCTGCACAGTGAAAAAAAGTGTAGGGCATTAAAAGGGAAAATCAACTTTTATCCCATTCCCAAAGACGCTGCATTTCATCAGATGCTTCCATAGTTTTCCCTCTTTTACATCTTGCCTGTCTCAAAATTTTTCCTCTCAAACTGTGCAGATCCTTATGTGCATCTGTTGTAAAATATCTGTGTTTTGTTGCCTGCTAGAGGTTTATCTTGGAGCTGCAATCACCACACAAACAAGCAGGAACATATTAACCCACTGTGAAATTCATTTCAACATCAACAAACCAAAGCAGTGGTCTGTGAAAACAACAGAAATGCCTTTAGCAATACAGTGATAAAAGGCAGTATTCGCCCAGCTGAAGTGGCATTTATGGGCAATTTTTTGAGCACTGCCTTAAAATGAAAAAATATGCAGGACATTAAGAAGAGCATCATAAAAACATCCAAAAATGCCAAAACAACAATGACCGTGTAGCAGTCAGAGAACATTCTTATTTGAAGAGAACAGAACTTCAGCTCAGACAGAAGATGACTGTTTTGGCTGTGCGGAGGTTCTCCAACCAGAAGATCCATTTGAACAGCCAGTGGAAGTCTGGATTGTCTCTGGCAGCTGTCACAAATGTTAAATCACTTTCTGGGGGGGCAGGATCTCCTTATGTTACCACGGTACCTACAGCACAGAGGTAGGAGAAGAGGAACTTCTGTTATCGGTCAAGGAAACATTTACTGTCTTTATCCTCCCGAGGATGAAACTGTGATGGAAAAGCTGCAGAACATGCTTTCAATAACAGTAAAGTGACTTAGCGATTTCTGAGGCTACTTCTCTTCACCTTGTCCAGATCACAATGTCACACAGTATCTCAGTTAAAATAAAATGTTTACCTCAGTCATTTTCAGTTGTGTATCACATAGCATCATGTAACAGCTTGGGTTGGATTGGACCTTAAAGACCATCTAGTACCAAACCTCTTGCTGTGGGCAGGGCTGCCGCCCAGCAGGACAGACTGCCCAGGGCTCCGTCCAACCTGATCTTGAACATCTTCAGGGATGGAGCATCCACAACCTCTCTGGGCATCTGCTCCAGTGCTTCACCACTCTCTGACTGAAAAAATTCCTCCTAATATTTCATCTAAATCTTCTTTCTTGGTTTGAAACCATTCCTCCTTGTCCTATCACTATCAGATAATGTAAAACATTGGTCTCCCACCTGTGAGGTGTCCCTGGAGCCTTCTCTTCTTCATGCTGAACAAGCCCGGGTGCCTCAGCTTTTCTTCACAGGAAAGCTGCTCCAGCCCCCTGATCATCTTTGTGTCCCTCTGGACCCACTCCAACTGCTCTGCATCTTTCTTGCACTGGGGGCTCCAGGCGTGGGGGCCTCACTAGACAGAGCAGAGGGACAATCACCTCTCTTGCCCTACTGGCCACCCCTCTTTCCATGGAGCCCAAGATACTGTTGGCCTTCTGGGCTGTATGCACTCACTGCTGGCTCACATCAAGCTTTTCATAAACCAGAATCACCAAGTCCTTCTCCACAGGCCTGCTCTCAGTGAGTTCTCCCAGTTTGTACACATCTGGGATTGCCTTGATCTAAGTGCAACTTCTTACAAGTCGAACTTCATTCAGTTCCCTTGGATCCACCTTTCAAGCCTGTCCTGGTCCCTCTGGATGGCATCCCTTCCATCGTATCAACGACAACATTCTGCTTGGTGTCATCAGCAAACCTGCCAATGGTGCACTCAATCCCACTGTCTATTTTATTGATAAAGATGTAACTGAAAGCATATTCAGCTAAATCTCTCTATATAGGCATATTCAGAACTGGAGCAGAAGAATTATGGTTAAAGACCATTAGCTTTTGTGAGGACCTTCCAAGACCCTTCTTCCCCTAGCATGATTCCCAACAAAAGGAAAATCTTTTCATATCCCGCATTCTAGATGCAGGCATGCTCCTGCAGCTGAGCTAGGCAGTGCATGTGCAATATGATACCCATTACTTAACAACAGCAAAAATGAGAACAGCTCACTCAAATTAGCAGTTTTTTCCCCAAATTCCAAAAGACAACCGCTATAATTCCTGCAGATTTCTCTTCCATCATTCTCCCAGTCACCAGGGACAGCCACACAGAAGAGTTATGTTGATGTGCAACTGTGGGTATGAATCAAGTGAAGAGCCTACTTCTGAAATATATACCAAGCTGTACAAGCTACTAGTGCTCTGTGATTTGCCTAAACAAACAATTGCAGTTATTCAAGCAGCTTGCTACACCCTTACAGAGGCCTCAGAACGGCTCAGAATGAACAGATGAGAACTAGAATGTAAAAGAATAAATTTCCAGTCAAGTTTCACCCTTCATACAAACAAACAAAAAAGAGAGGAGAAAAATCATATGAACTTTGGACTCTCCAGTTTTCTGAAACATTCCCTACCCCCCAACACACATACAATAAAACAAGTAGTGAAGTTAGGCTAAGCCCATACTGTTAAAGGCCACACCTCCAAACTTCATCATTTGCAAGAAAAAAAGAATTATATTTTAGTTCACTAAGGTTAGAATGAAACAGAGCTTTCCTTTCTACAAATAGCATCTTTAGCAATAACACAGGGACCCTGCGAGAGATTTCAATTTGTGTCTAAGGAAAACATTATGATTGTCATAATTTCAGAACAATCTATGTTTAAAGAACTAAGCCTTCAGAACTTAGTAAAGTGAACTTTTATTTACAGTAAGGTGTGGTTACCTAGTATATTAAAAAATATCCATCAGTTTGATAAGTTAGACCTCATTCTAAAATGCAATTTATCTGCTGCCAGCATCTGAGTAATGTGCTGGCTTGTTAACAGATCTCTTTGTACAAGAAGAGGTAGATAATCCCTAAGCTCACGTCTCCTAGCCAAACAGACACATTATTCTTGCTGTGCTCAAAGTTCTGAATGGTCATTTACAGTAAAAGCAACAGCTTTCACTGGAAAACAAATAACTTGCCAAGAAATGACAATTTTTTTTTCTTAAAAAAGGCAGACCTATTGCAAATAGCCAAAAGATGATGCTTTGTCAAGAAACAAACTTGAGAAACCTTGTAACTTGATCACAAATTCCAAATTTGAGTCCTCCTATTCCTTTAGATTGTACCAGGAGGAATACAGAAATGAAACAGAAGTGCAAGCATCAGAAGACAACATGACCCTTTTTCTTTTTTTGGAGGGTAGGAGTGGGAGGGGTTTGGAGAGGAAAGGTGGAAAGAAAAAAAACAAGCTATAAAATGTTGCAAAGTTGTAGTGCCAAGTAATGTAGTATGAAAATGAAATGACATTACTAGAACAGATAATTCCTGGCCCTATTTGGTGCAGCTTATTCACTGTGTTCATCACTTGTTATCCAAGCTGTCACGAAAATTGTAGCACTTACATACACAGTCTTAACAAAAAACACACCTTTGAAAACTGTGTTAAACAAACTGAGATAATTCATGACAGAGTTGCTAAACTCACAGGAAACGGGTTTCTCTTCTGACCACCAAGCCAAAATCTCAAAGATTTTTCATGACAGGCACTTCTCATGTAACCACTGCTTACGTTTTTCTTGTCAAGAAGCTTTCTCAAATTGCAGTCTCATGGGTAGTTGCCAAGTAGAAGTCTTCAAATTCTTCCAAATCTCAAGTGTAATTAGTGGGTCAAATAGAATCTAATGGGTCGTCCTTGTGTCACATCACCTCCTTTGGCAGTACAAAGTAGTACCTAATAGAACAAAAACACTTGGAATATTTATTTATATTCTTTTACATTAATATTACACATAAACCATTCTATTTAAATGAGCTCTGGGATATCATTGTGAAATTAGGACAAGATCTGAGCCAATCTCAACTGTCATTGCTGCTCTAGAGTAGCATAAACACACTACCCAGTATGGAGGCTGTCCGTATTTGTTTCACAACTGCTCAACTCTCTCATCATCTACATCTCCTCATGGCAACAAGAATTGGTGGAGTCAGACCAACATACAGCCAAAGAGAAGAATCACAGAATCATAGAATTGCTCAGATTGGAAAAGACCGTAATGATCAAGTCCAACCACAAAAAAAAAAAAAACAAAAAGAAGAGAAAGAAGAAAAGAAGAAGAGAACCAGCCTGCATCCTGTACTGGTTGGATAAATTAACTAGAGCTGGCCTAATAGTGAACTAAGCAATTCAGTATTAAGTTGTTTAATGAGTTAGCTCTGCTATTATTCACCAAGTTGCATTATTCATTATATGCAGACAACTGTCAGGTCATTTGTAAAATACTTTCAGCTCCCAATGATTTCACAAATTTTAACTATTATTCTTTTCTCTTTCTTAAAAAAAAAATAATAATCAGAAAAAAACCTTCACGTGAACTAGAAAATCCACGTAGATCACAAACACTGTCTAGCTGAAATGAACCTGTCATGAATAATCCATAGACTAAAATAGCTACACCTAATGTTGAAAACAAACAGTAACTGTCACAGAAAACATGTTTGATCTGCAAATAGCAAAAAGTAGGTTCTTTATTGTATAATTTATACACAACAAATAATTCAGGGTGCTCAGCTCTTTCCCAGAACACATTTAAAATAATGTATATTTTGATAATAGCAAGAACATAAAAAATGAAACACAAATTAATTAGATATTAAGAAATTAGACATATTTTAAAACAACTCAGAGAATTTGAAGGTTAACTTCAAGTTAAAACAGAAAAAAAAAAAAAAAGAAAAAGGATGGTTAAAAATTCTTGTAAATTCTATATTCCTCATTCTGTATGACAGAGAGGTCATTTTCATCACAGCATCAATAAACTCATCAGATTGCTGAGGCCATAATTATCATTGCTGACCAAAAAAAGAAATCCCACTCCAATTAGCCTGAAGACATTATCAGAAACATGGCTACATGGACATGTCTGTCTTGAGTACTACATCAGGTAAGCACTTCAGTAGTTAACATGTTATATATAGAGATGGCACTGGAGAAAAGCATTACAAAGAGTCCAGTAATGCTTCATTACTGTGGACTTTGCTCTGGTAAGGATGTATTCGTGTCGTCTTCAGTTGCTATTTCCTCAAATTCCTAAGATTAATCAGAATTAGGCGTCATTGGTCCTTGAACGGGAGACTTCTACAAAGAGATAAGAGCTTGAAGGGCACAGGGCAGACAGTTCAGACATCGTTTCTCCACAAAATTCTGAAGAATTTTTCCATTTGAAGTTCCAAATCTAGGTCTCCTCTTAATAATCCCTTTAATGTGGTCTCAAAGTTTGCTTACCTTTTTCTGCTTTACCATTTTTACCATTAAATACATCCTTAAAATTCTTCTTAACTTTTATACTTCGAATTAACAATTGCTGGAGATTCCGTGCAGGAGATGAAAAAAATAAAATCTACTACGTGGTCTGGACTTCAGGTTGCACTAAAACATTATTCTCTATAAAAGGAGTCAAAAAACATAGTAGAAGTGCTTTCCAAATCAAACCTTCTAAATCTGCATCCCTCTTTTTTTTTTTTTTTTATCTAAATTCCAAATTCCATTTCAACACAATTTCAATACAAAATTTAACAAATTTTGCATCTTCAATTCAGGGGCAGTTGGGAAATGGCAACTGAAGAGTCATATACTAATCTAAAAACAAGCAGGTGAATGTTAGGGTGTACTGAATAACTTAATCTTGTGACATCCTGTCAGATTAGCAGTCCTTAATATTGTGAGTATTCTTTACTTCACGTGAAATTTCATGAGGAACAGCTTGCCAGACTGTGTTCATATTTTGCAATACACTGGAATGTTTTCAGATTAAAATCAGCATCACTCCTCACTTTTATATAGTGAAGATTCTAAAGATTTAGGGAAAAGTAATCAACAGTTTGTCTTTTGGGCTTTTTGATTACAATTAATAAAAGAGAATCATTTTCAAGGGTAGAAATGGCAAACCTTGAGACTTCTTTCAAATCTCATTACTCTGCTTTGACTCCAAATACTCACTGCCCTAAACCGTGTCATGTACATTATGTTTTATGTTACCTCCTCATACGTAGCTTTTTTTTTTTTAACTTTTTACCTAGCTTCTTCTGTGAGCCTATATCCTTCTCCGGTTTCAGAAAAAAATCTGGAAAACATGTTTGTGTTCTACACATTTTCAATTTTTTGAAGTTCAGTTTTTTGTATTTACACTCATGCCATATTCCCTCAAAATATCTGAGTCATAGCCATAGCAATTAACAACTGTGAATAACGCAATGTCACATAACAAATGGAAGATACAAAGGCAACAATATTCTCAAACATCCATCTAAGTCAGATTGATAGTTTTACAAGGAACGTAAGATTTTGGTTTTAATCCCCTTAAATATGACCTGGACCCAATAATAATAATCTCTTCTTAGACATCTTTCTGTTTTCAGATCCCTGTTATATAGAGGGAGAAACAGAATGCAAGGGGGAGAGGAAGAGAACAATTAATATGATTTATTAATATGATATATGCATTAATCATTAGCAAGCCATTTTACATTCATCACTTACAGGAAGACTCATCATTCAAACCATTTTTGGTGCCAACATTAATTGCCTGATCTTGAAGCTGATCTTCCTTCCTTCCGAAGTCAACAAGACATCAACTTCCACTCACTTTACATGAATCCCAGATACCTGCCCCTTCATGGTAGCTGAAGAACTCTTTGCCTTTCATTTTTTTCTGAGCAAATTACTTGCTAGGCCACTTCTTTCCTATTTCTTTTTTCATCATGACATGTGTGTGCTCCTCATTTTTCATGAGATTTAGCACACAGCAATTGTTTCATCACTGAAACTGCTGAGGACGTTTTTCTGTGTAAATCACTTCACCATTTGCTTTCACACTTGGCTTTCACATGTACAGCCACTACAAACCTAAGGTCTGATTTAAACACATGCATTTTCTGCTCATCTGCCAGTAAAATCACTACTTTGCCTAGTGCAGAAGAACAAAAATAACACACTCTTCCACTAGGAAGCCTATTTAGCAGAAGGATAACACATAATAGGCAATACATAAAATACATCACCTATCTGTCATCATAGCAGATGACATCTGCTATGTCATAACTTTATGTAAGAGAACATCTTGTATTACTTTAGCTGTCAGATTGCTGATTTCAGAGGCTGAAAAGCTTTTGGTGCTCACACCTTGCTGCTGGAATAGGGGTCAATCAACCATTACCTCCACCAACAGACATCAGTTTGTACAGGAAAGTTCTGAAGGGAAAATGCAAATTCACAAATATCTTAACAGGCTTGTTTATCCCTGCAGAGAGTACAGTGCTGGAATGCACAACAAGATATGGCCTGCAAGGGTCAAAATGTGGTGATGGAGAGGAGTAGAAACTGTTCTTTATTACAGCTAGAAGCACAGTGCAGAAACCCACGGTACAGCAGAGAGCAGAGGGATCAGTCTTAGCCATGAGGCAGAACAGGACAAGCTGTCTGCCACACTACAGATCTCCTTTGGATGGAGAATCTTACTTTGATGCTATTTCTATGCACTGCAGATCCCATGCTAGGTGTCCTAGAGCAGGACAAAGTCTAGGGGAAGTCTAGAAGTTCACAACAGTCAGGCATTTGCTGCAATCCAGAGCTTGCACATGAGCTAATTCTCTGCGAAGGGGTTTAAACAGATTTGGAAAACAACTGGACAACCTGTAGCTATATCCATGCAACTCATGCACTGAAACACTGTACGGAGAAGCTGTTGATGCCTCACCTCTCACCTCTGGAGGCGCTCAAGGCTGGGTTGGATGGGGTTCTGGCAACCTGAGTTGGTGGGTGGCAACAGCAGGGAAGTGGAACTGAATGATTTTAAGGCCTCTTCCTACCCAAGCCATTATATGATTCCATTATTCAGATACGTAAGCATATCTATTTAAAGGCATTACGCTCCATGCATCAGCAAGCAAAGCAATCACACAATTATACTCTGTGTCACAAAGTTGTTTTTCTCTCCCCACACATGCAGTACATTTACCATTAAAATAGTCCCCACAACATTTTTGTCACTGTACCAGCATCACTGGAGGATTGTCACTAATTCTTTTTTCATCTTTCAGAAAACCCTTCCCCACCATTTTATTTAAAATGTTCACATTATTTTGAAGCAATTTTCAAAATCACTGGCATTTTTCTTTCATCAGAAGCAGTCTTCTCTTAGCCTTCACTAAACAAGAATGTAACCCCCCGCTGTTCTCTGTGAATTAGGATTTTCAAGTTATTTTGAAAATTATTCAAAAAAAATTGTTTCTAATGCAGCTTTCAGTGCAACACAGCATAGAAAAGTTAGTTGAAGATAAGTCCATTTTGAATGATGTGATTTGGGTTGTTTAAAACAAAAAATATTTCCCATACTTTTGTCACATTAAACCGATGATAATTTCTATCAAGAGCTGCTGAAAGTGCTAATGGACTTCAATTCCCTTGACTTTAATGGGAGCAACACACTTCAGCATCTCACAGGAGGAAGCTGGCACCGCAGGACTGGATTTTAAAAGGACACAGTTTCTCAAACTACCTTTGTCCTGAAAGAATTCAATTTAATCAGCCCGAAGCCTGTCTCATTCGTACAATACATGTTTACAATAGAGCTATTTCTCCCATTGTCCAGTGCACAACTTTGAGAAACAGCTATTAAAGGGCTGCCTCCATAGTCCACAATCTCTTTAGTTTGCAAAACTGCTCATCTCTTTACT